GAAGAACCCCGTTCTTCATTCAAGGACGAAACACATTGACATTAGGCACCATTTCATTAGAGATCATGTTCTCAAAGGTGATGTCGAAATTGAGTTTGTTGAAACACACAACCAATTAGCCGACATTTTCACAAAACCTTTAGAGAAAGAGTCGTTCTTCCGCATTCGTAGTGAACTCGGAATCCTTGACTCCACGATGATCTAATTTGTGCATTTTATCACTCCTTTTTCTGTGCTTGAACGTTTACTAACTTGAGCATCGGAGGGTTTTCTAACTCTTTTTTGCAGGGACGGTTCGAGGTGAAGATTTCTGGAAATCAGGGGGAACCAGCGATGGGTGCGTTATACCATCGCTGGGAGGGAAGTCCTCATCTTTCCAGGACCCCTCTTCCCATCGATGGGAACCTTCTCCCATCGCTGGGTGTTTGACTCTATTTTTTAAAATTTTTAACGGATTTCCAGAACCACCTTACCCATCGATGGGTATTTCATCCCATCGCTGGGTGAAGGACTTTTGTTAAATTTTTCCAGAACCTCCCTACCCATCGATGGGAAATTTCTCCCATCGCTAGGTGTTTGACACTGTTTTTAAAACTTTTTGACGAATTTCCAGTAGCCACCCTCCCATCGATGGGTGTGTTTGACCATCGATGGGATGGCAGCCTTGTTTTCCCCCTTCGCTTTCCAGTGTCGACCTTCCCATCGATGGGAAGTTCCACCCATCGCTGGGAAGCCTGCTGCAAATTCAAATTTTTTAACCATTGGTCACCAAATTTATGGCCCAACAGTCATTTTTTTAAAATACAAACGGTTTTCTCACCTTTCCCTATATATATCCTTCATGTCTACTCATTTTAACACACCTTTTTCACTTCAAAATCTCCTCTATTACATATTTCTTCATCATTTTGCTTCAATCATGGCCGGAGGAAAGAAGACAAAGGCTTCCAAGAAGAAGGGCAACGCCGAAGCTACGACCTCTGCGCCCCAGCCGTTTCCGTACCTGGACGGATCCTTCTAGGAGTTCGGGTCGGAGGAGGAACTCAACCGGTTCCTCACGCACTTTGCCAAGCGTCCCATTTCTCCGCCTAGGGTGCTGCCCGAGTTGTACCCACAACAAAAGGGGTACCACGACCTCGACAATCAGCTTCAAGCATCGGGTCTGTGGTCGTTCGTCTCCAGGAGCTGCTCGAGCTTCAACCCAGCCTTTGTGCGAGCCTTCTACTCCAATCTCCGCCGGGACGGGGACACCATTCGCAGTAGCATCAATCTCTACGACATAGAGATTGATTTGGCTACCTTCGCTCGGGTCGCAGGGCTGCCCACCCATGGTGACGACATCGCAACATATGGCGGCGATGATTGGATCCTCAACAACGAGGCGGTGGTCATCCGAGAGCTTGGGATCACCAACCTCATCCGTCACAGCGGCGCACCAACAATCCACTCAGCCCCGCCGGAGAAGCGTCTTCTTCTCTACATCCTCACCCGGATTCTTTGCCCCCAGGACGGTAGCCACACATGTCTCTTCAACGAGGATCTCAAGGCGGTTCATGCTATCACCCATGGTGCCTCGATCAATTGGGCAAAATACGTCATGATTCACATGGCGGATTGCGCCTCCATCGCCACTGAGCGGAGCTTGCCATACGCCTTCCTCGTCATGGACCTCATCATCTCCGCCGACATCTCCATCGCCGGCCCGGATACGAAGATGACAAAGATTTGGATAATCCAAGACAGCACCTTCCGGAAGAAGTCCGGAGACCGGGACGACGCAGGCCCGAGTTGTGCACCAGCCCCCGCTCCCGCCAAGGCCTCTTTGCAATCCATAGCCGATACTCTGAACCGGCTAACCCTCACAGTGGATGGCATGGGGCAGTCAATCGAGCGGATGGACTGGACGCTGCAACGCCAACACCACGACATGACGGCGTTCTTCCGCGGCATCAACTACGTCCCGCCGCCTTTTGACAGCACCTTCCTCGGCTAAAACTATGAAGGCGAGGACGAGGAGGATAACTCCTATGCTCCATCCTCCTCCCCCGACGAGGCCGACTTTGAAGATGCGGTCGACGGTGATCCCATGGACGTCGAGGACGACGAGGACGCCGATGCTTAGACTTCTCTTTTCTCTTCTTCCTATGATTGTATCTCTTATTTTTTCTTCCATTCCGTTGTATTCCGCATTTCCCTTTTTCATGAATAAAAGTTTTTACTTTTAATTCTTTTTGTTAATGTCAAAAGGGGGAAGATATTAAGGTTATGCATAAATTAAGGGGGAATTTTTTTCTATTAAGGGGGAACATCCTTTTCAAAATAATCCTCCTATGCATAACCTCGTCTCGTTTGCCATTATCAAAAAGGGGGAAATTGTTGAAACACGGGCTTGTCACGTTTTCGTACTAAAGCCGTGTTCGTTTTTGTAACAGGTTTTGATAATGCCAAACCGACGTGATCAAGTCAAACATTGAATATACAAGGCGAAGAACGAAGATAAGAGCAAGAGCTAAACGAAGACCAAGAACGAAGACCTTAATCATAGTATTGAGTCGGTCTTTATTGTGATCAAGACCGACCCAATCTTTACACTTTGGCTCTTTAAGCTAAAAACTCTCATTGCATTTCTTACATCATAAAAATGGTTTTAAACTTGTTTAAGTCATTAAAAACACTTGGTGTTCGCCCAAACCAAAAACCAAGCCATCCAGTGTTCGGCTTTCAGAAACCAGCGTTCGGCTTTCGGTTGTCGGGTTTGGTTTTTGGCATCCAAACCAACCAAGTGGTTTTCAGCATTTTATGATCT